TTTTAATAAAAGTTAGTAGGCTATCACAATTTTAAATTAAAACTTACCATTGACAGAAACAGCCGTCTCGTGCCTTTTTTTTTTTTGCATTTACATTACAAGTAACCCTGCTGGTTATAAAAAGAACTTTGTTTTCTAACTCCACGAGTGCCATCGGTTATCCTCTCTCAATCAGTAGAAAATATGGTTAACACCCGGTCATGCATGAAAAAAAAAAATATCATCATGTACCGTGAAACCGGTATAATTTTGAAAAATACCGTGATATAAATTTTTGGTCATACCGCCCAGCACTAGCCTATAGGCTACATTTGGTTTTCCATAGGCTATTCAGTCATTAAACTAAGCTTAAATCATTAAAAACTGACACATAATAAACAAGAATAAACAAATCAGTAAGTGTATGCCTACATTCGTATGTATTTTTGTATTTAGGCCTATTGTATTTATTATTTTATATGCTGTTTAAGACTGCGCCATGTGTTTAATGTGTTTAGCGCCATCCCCTGACCATTATGTGACCAATTCATTAAAGAATATATAATTTTTTATTTAATTCTGAGAGAATATTCCACCAAGGCTGTTTTTCATGACTTTTCCCTCTGTGAAATTAAGTGTCGGCAACAGCAAACAACGGTGATAGCTTGCGAATGGTCAATTGGGTGAATTGAATACAATGGCCATACATCATCATGACTCACTTTAACAAGTAGTATGTTCAAGCGTGTCAGTAAAAAAGTACAGTGTGGCTCCTTGACCATTTTCTGAGTACTCCAGTTAGTTTTGGTGAAAAAAAAAAAAAAGAAATGCTAAAATAATAGCAGCTACCATTGCTCCATCGAATGCTTCACACTCCAGTCCAGTAGGTGGCAGAAATGCACTGGTGCATAAAAAACCCAGAAAAAGCAGGTGAACATTTCTGACACCTAGCTGTACTTTTTTGGCATGCAACTAGGCGGTTGTATTATGGAAATGCGTTCTTTAAAAATGTGTAAACTTGCAATAGTATCGTAACTAGATGCATTTGGGTTCACGCACTTGCATAGACTATGTGCATTTTACTCTAAAGAAGAAAATATTTCATCAAAATGTCTTTCAAGTCCAGTTCGAAAGTCCTGGTGTGAAAATTAAACATTTACATTTTTTTTGAACGAACACCTGTTAATGTATCTGTCCTAAAAGACAAATATTTGCGTGCCTTCAATGTGACAATTATTATTATTATTATTTTTTTACTAATCTCTTTTCCACCGCACTGCGAAAAAAACTGGCCAGTGGATATGATTCACACTTTTGGTCACATATCAGACCCGCTGATTTTACATAAAACTACTTCTTGGTGGCGATTCGAGTGTGAAAATCAGACCAAATCAGACCATTGAAATGGATAAAATCAAGATAATCTGCATAATTTTTTTTAAGTTTTAACACATTGCAAATACCATGTCCTGTTGTCTTTAACCCCAGATCCCGCCCGTAGTATCTGTCTAACAGAGGCATGTGTAACCGTGGCCAGTAAGATCGTGGAAGCTCTGGACCGCTCTGCCGACCCATGTCAGGATTTTTACCAGTACGCCTGTGGAGGATGGGTCCGCAAAAACCCCCTGCCAGATGGCCGGTCCCGCTGGAGCACATTTAACAGCATCTGGGACCAGAACCAGGCTGTGCTCAAACACCTGCTGGGTAAGTGCCGGAAAACACACATACACACACACACACACATGCTTATCCTTTTTGTAGGATGGGATTTGCTTAGTAAATCTCACTCAGTGTTCACACAACAGCATATATTTGGATAGACTCCTAACTGATTTATTTGATTTTCCAATAGAAAACTGCTGCCTTTATGCGTTTTGAAGAGTCTTACACTTCAGCTCTCTGTGCTCGGGTTGTTTTTGTAGATCCGCTCAGAAACAGAATCGATTCTGCTCTGTGTGTCCTTATTACTTGTTTTCTCAGAGAGCATCCGTCCCTTTCTGTTTGTTCGATAAAGGACAATGACTTTCTGCACTCGTTCTCCGTTTCTTTAACCGTAAAAGACCATTGAAATGGATAAAATCAAGATAATCTGCATAATTTTTTTTAAGTTTTAACGCATTGCAAATACCATGTCCTGTTGTCTTTAACCCCAGATCCCGCCCGTAGTATCTGTCTAACAGAGGCATGTGTAACCGTGGCCAGTAAGATCGTGGAAGCTCTGGACCGCTCTGCCGACCCATGTCAGGATTTTTACCAGTACGCCTGTGGAGGATGGGTCCGCAAAAACCCCCTGCCAGATGGTCGGTCCCGCTGGAGCACATTTAACAGCATCTGGGACCAGAACCAGGCTGTGCTCAAACACCTGCTGGGTAAGTGCCAGAAAACACACATACACACACACACACACATGCTTATCCTTTTTGTAGGATGGGATTTGCTTAGTAAATCTCACTCAGTGTTCACACAACAGCATATATTTGGATAGACTCCTAACTGATTTATTTGATTTTCCAATAGAAAACTGCTGCCTTTATGCGTTTTGAAGAGTCTTACACTTCAGCTCTCTGTGCTCGGGTTGTTTTTGTAGATCCGCTCAGAAACTTGCATCGATTCTGCTCTGTGTGTCCTTATTACTTGTTTTCTCAGAGAGCATCCGTCCCTTTCTGTTTGTTCGATAAAGGACAATGACTTTCTGCACTCGTTCTCCGTTTCTTTAACCGTAAAAGCCTCCATTAGTCAACCTCTCATTGATTTACAGCAGAGTGCTTGCAAGTCTTGTTTTATCAGTTACACTTTTTAAAGAAATGTAAGGTTAAAGTTTTAAAAACTTTTAAACTTGGTCTCAGTTTATATTAGGTGACCTTAACTACTATGCACTTACATAAAAAAGTACAATACTTATTGTGTTGAAAAACACTTTTGCTGCTATTGAGGTGGGATATGGGTGAGGTTAGGGACAGGTTTGGTGGTATGGGTTGGTTCAAGGGTGGGTTAAGGTGTAAGGGATGGGTCAGCAGTGTAATTATAAATGTAATTACAAAAAGTAATTACAGATGTCATTACATGCAGGTATTTTCTAAAATATAAGTACAATGTAAAAACATGTATGTACACAATAAGTGCATTGTACCAAATGATTACAGGAGTACATGGCAGTTAAGGCCACCAAATATAAAGTGCGACCTACAACTTTTACATTTGTAGAGTGATTTTTGCCTGTGCACAATGCTAAAGTATTATGAGAGGAGGTTGCTAGGACGATGCTAGGTGGTTGCCATGATGTTCTGAGTAGTTGCCAGGGTGTTGCTAGGTCTTAGCGTTCTGGATGGTTTCCAAAGTGCTGCTAGGAAGTTGCTGCTGTACATAGATCTTGATGGTTGCCAGGGTATTGCTATGTGGTCGCTATAGTGTTCTTGATGGTTGGCTGCCAGGGTGTTTTTAGATGGTCACTAGAGTGTTCTGGGCAGTTGCTAAGATGCTGCTATTTGGTTGCTGTGTGCATAGTCCTTACTGATTGCCAGGTTGTTGCTAGGGTTTCCCAGGGCATTACAGTGTGACTGCTAGCTGTTCTGAGAGGTTGCTAGGGTGATGCTAGGTGGTTGCTAGGGTGTTCTGAGTAGTTGCTAGGGTATTGCTATGTCTTTTGCTAGAGTGTTTTGGACAGTTTGCAAAGTGCTGCTAGTTAGTTGCTACATTGTTCTTGACGTTCTTGCTGAGTGGTTGCTATAGTGTTTTTGATGATTGCTAGGGTGTTGCTGAGTGGTTGCTATAGTGTTCTTGATGGTTACTAGAGTGTTGCTGAGTGATTGCTTTAGTGTTCTTGATGGTTGCTAGGGCGTTGCTAAATGGTTTCTAGGATATTCTAAGTGGATGCCAGATCACTGCATGTAATTGTTAGGTTGTTCTGGGTGGTTGCCACAGAGTTTCTAGATGATCGCTACAGTGTTCTGGGCAGTTACCAAGGTGCTGCCATGTGGTTGCTATGGCAATAGTTCTTAATGATTGCCAGGGTGTTGCTGAATGGTTGCTAGGATATTTTGATTAGTTATCAGTAGTTATCAGAGCACTCCCAAGTGGCTTGTTGGTTGTTCCGGGTGGTTGCCATGGCGTTTCTATATTGGTTGCTACAATGTTCTAGGTGGTTTCCAAGGCACTGCAAAAAAAACAAAAAAAACAATTATTATTTATTGAACTCTGTTTATTTATTTGCCTTGCAAGCTCTAGTGTTCCTTACAGGAAATGCTAATGTAGTCTCTTTTGCGTTTGAATGCATTGCTTAATTTCTCTCTCTAATTGTTGCTCTATTTTACTTTGCCTGTTTTATTTAATAAGCTGTTGTAATGCGCTGGCTTTGACCAAACTCTCTCTCTGTCTAATGAATGCGCTCTTACACTGGGGTCCCTGCGGCTGTTTTGCCCTGATGACACTCCATCACATTGACTCTGTGTGTTGCATCACCCCCGCAGCCACATTCATCCAATCACATGACACACTTCTCTCACCCTTCTGCACATTTAATAAAACTCGCCTTACATGAACATATTTTTGATCTCATATTACTCTCAGATATATGATCCATCTTCTGTGGATTGGGGTTCTTGAGTGTGCGTGTGATTGGGTGAGTGTGTGTGCAGCACGAGGTGAACGCAGCGCTCCAGTGAACAGTAAATGAAGAGCATTCCCTAATGACCTGGTCAGAGAACAGAGAGAGAGAGAGAGAGAAACAGGAAGGAAGAAAATGTTGAGAATGAGTGAAGGGATAAAGTATGTGCTCACACTAGATTGTAAGATTGTGAAATTATTTTGGCTCCACAGTGAATATGGACAACAGGACATGACATCACACTGCATCCAGGGATTCTATATCGCAAAAAAGATCAAATGTAATTATGACATTTTTCTATATTTAAAGAGTCTCTTTTGGAGTTACCAGGGCATTGCTAGGTGTTTGCACTGTTCTGATTGGTTACTAGGCGGTTGCTATGGTGTTCTGGTTGGTTGCTAGATGGTTACCAGGGAGTTCTGGGTGATTACCAGAGTGTTGCTAGGTTTTTACTATAGTGTTCTGGGTGGTTGCCAGGGCATTGCTAGGTGGTTGCTAGGGTGTTGCTGGGTGGTTGCCAGGGTGTTGCAAGGGTATTCTGGTTGGTTGCCAGGGCATTAATAGGGTGCTATATAGTAGGTTGCTAGAACGTAGCTAGGTTAGCAATGCTAGGTAGTGTTGTCAAAAGACCCGGTACTTCGGTACCAAGTCGGTACTAAAAAAATGAAAACGTTACGGTACCAGGTTTTCTTAAGTACCGGTGGTACCGAGTAGGCCTACCCGGTCAACCCGGTTCTTGATGCGCTATCTGAAAGGTGCGCAGATGTGCTCTCTTCATAAAAGCACTGAGACATGGCGACCTCAAAATGAGGAAACACATCAAACTAACAAAACACTTTAAAGACAGACACCCGGATCAAATGAAAGAGTTCAAGCAGGTAAGTTTCATTTTAATTTTCAATATTTAGTATTTCCCATACATTGATTTATTTGTGTCGGCCCGCCACAATATCAAAACTCACCCCCATAAATAGATTTTCCAAAAGGCTTTGACTTCGTTGAATAAACATGAGCACTCGAAACCCGAAACCCGGTGTGGGTGTTTTTATATCACTCTATTTCTGAAGGAATCCGACTGTCTTCAGAAAATTACCCAATTGAGCATCTCTGGAGAGACCTAAAAATGGCTGTCCACCAACGTATACCTTCCAACCTGACAGAACTGGAGAGGATCTGCACGGAGGAATGGCAGAGGATCCCCAAATCCAGTTGTGAAAAACTTGTTGCATCTTTCCCAAAGACTCATGGCTGTATTAGATCAGAAGGGTGCTTCTACTAAATACTGAGCAACGGGTCTGAATACTTAGGACCATGTGATATTTCAGTTTTTCTTTTTTAATAAATCTGCAAAAATGTCAACAATTCTGTGTTTTTCTGTCAATATGGGGTGCTGTGTGTACATTAATGAGGAAAAAAAATTAACTTAAATGATTTTAGCAAATGGCTGCAATATAACAAAGAGTGAAAAATTTAAGGGGGTCTGAATACTTTCCGTACCCACTGTATATGCAGCTACAAATAGAGCGCAAGTCTGTGGGAAACACCGCTTCTGTTATGAATATTATTCAATATTTTTATTTGAATGTCGGATTGAAATGAACATCGCTGTTCGTAGAGTAGTTAATCGTTAGCATAAGCGTGGCTAACGCTAATATAATGAGCATTAGAATGAAGTTTCTTTATTAACTATTTAATGCTCCTATAACTTTTATTAGGGTAAAAAAAAAAAAACAGGAGGACATGATGATATTTACTATTTTTACACACCAGAGGCTTTTAAATGAATTGTGAATCTAAAATATGCGTGTTAGAGAATGTACAAATGGTTAACATTGTTTGTGTCATATCAGTCAGAAAAGCAGTTCTGGGCTTTTTTTTTTTTTTTTAGCTAACAAGTTAGTTGTTATTCTTGGCTAAATAACTCTAGAAGGTTTTAAAAGCCCTTTAAAATTAAATATGTACACAGTTTGGATTAAATTAAATTATAGTCGAATTTTTTTAATTAGCATGTTTTTGTGTTTTGCTTCGGTACCGAGAACCGTGGATTTTCACTGGTATTGGTACCGAATACTGAAATTTTGGTACCGTGACAACACTATTG